CACGATGACAACGTTAAAAGGGTAGGTAAACGGGAATCAACGATAGGCAGCGGTGTATCAAGGACAGGGAAAGGTGTATCAAGGACAGGCAACGGTGTATCAAGGACAGGGAAAGGTGTATCAAGGACAGGCAACGGTCTATCAAAGACAGGGAAAGGTCTATCAAAGACAGGGAAAGGTCTATCAAGGACAGGGAAAGGTCTATCAAGGACAGGGAAAGGTCTATCAAGGACAGGGAAAGGTCTATCAAGGACAGGGAAAGGTCTATCAAGGACAGGGAAATGTCTATCAAGGACAGGCAACGGTCTATCAAGGACAGGGAAAGGTCTATCAAGGACAGGGAAAGGTCTATCAAGGACAGGGAAAGGTCTATCAAGGACAGGGAAAGGTCTATCAAGGACAGGCAACGGTCTATCAAGGACAGGCAAAGGTCTATCAAGGACAGGGAAAGGTCTATCAAGGACAGGGAAAGGTCTATCAAGGACAGGCAACGGTCTATCAAGGACAGGCAAAGGTCTATCAAGGACAGGGAAAGGTCTATCAAGGACAGGCAACGGTCTATCAAGGACAGGCAAAGGTCTATCAAGGACAGGGAAAGGTCTATCAAGGACAGGGAAAGGTCTATCAAGGACAGGCAAAGGTCTATCAAGGACAGGCAATGGTCTATCAAGGACAGGGAAAGGTCTATCAAGGACAGGGAAAGGTCTATCAAGGACAGGGAAAGGTCTATCAAGGACAGGGAAAGGCCTATCAAGGACAGGGAAAGGCGATCACAGTCAACAATATTTAAAAGTTACAGCCGAGAGGATCGACCCCCCCCCCCCCCTTTTCCCCCTCCTCCCGCCCCCCCCCCCCCACCCATCCCCCAAACCCAGGTTCGAGACCACAGGTTTAAAGGGTAGTAAAGGAGCCAAAATGTTCTGGCCAGATACAATCTCAAACGCTAAACTTCTTCAAGTCACAAACTAAGAAACTATAGACAGTATGATAACCAAGAGAAGATGGAAATGGCTTGGCCACATTATAAGAATGAATCCTGATATGCCTGCTCTCACATGGATACCATAGGAAAAGAGAAAAAATGGGCGCCCAAAAACAACATGGAGACGAACGATGGAAAAGTGACCTGAGTGTGGCATCTCTGACTTGGAAAACTGCACTGAAGATTGCACAGGACAGGAAAGCCCTCTCTGAAGCCTCATGTGCCACTCATTAGGCATAAGGAGAACTGAAAAAAGGACCCTTTTCCATGCCCTTAAGCGTACTGGGCTTATAGTGCCCTCGGCAGGCGCTGGGTGATGCAGACAACATCATACCGGATGCCCTTATTTCCTGGCGCTAGGTGATGCAGACAATATCATGCTTGATGCCCTTATTTCCTGGCGCTAGGTGATGCAGACAACATCATGCTTGATGCCCTTATTTCCAAGCGCTGGATGATGCAGACAACATCATGCCGGATGCCTTTATTTCCGGGCGCTGGGTGATGCAGACAACATCATGCCGGATGCCCTTATTTCCGGGCGCTGGGTGATGCAGACAACATCATGCCGGATGCCCTTATTTCCGGGCGCTGGGTGATGCAGACAACATCATGCCAGATGCCCTTATTTCCAGGAATTTACCTGGTAGGCATGTGAGGCAGAATCGACCTGGCAGCATTTTTTTCAAAAAGTTCGGCTGCGTTCAGGTTTGATCCCACGAACTTGGGATTCACCTACCAGTGTCTAGCCTCTATATCGCGGCGGCTACCTTTAAATGGTAGGTTAGGGTGTTTAAAGAATAGGTTTAAAAAAAAAGTTAGTAACGTATCATTTGCAGGACATTGCAGAACTGACTAGCATTTTTTGGGCTGTTGAGGTGTTTCCAGGCACATTTTACATTCAGTAGTTTGTCATTGCTTCCTAAACGGTCAGCTCTCGGTACCACTGCCGAAACCAACGCCAGATCGTTCGCAACCAAGAAAAAAATATAAGCAAATGTGTAGACGTTGCGAACGTGCTTCATAATTCCAGGGTGGAGAGTCTGAATTCAGCTCCGAGCGATCTGGCAGCAAATCGCCTTGTTTTGATTTCGAGAACCGCTAGAGCAAGGCAAAAGCAAACTTGTGACATTAAAACTGCCAAGTGAAATCACACACAACCAAAGAAATGTTTGAATGTATGTAAGTTGTACCCCACCAGGACTTCACACAAGTGATAAAAACCCGGTGACACAAAGTGCCACAATGCGGATGAGGATCACCAGTGGAGAGATCCCAGAAACCCTGTTCAGCTGTTAGGCCATATTTCAGGCCCGGCTATATTCAGGGTCCCCCAGCAAAAGCCGGGATGGGGCTTCAAAATATCTAAAAATTGCATCCCACAAGAGGATGACGAGATTGTGTACCAACAAAAGAAAAAACAAAAATGCCGGAGTGGGTTCCATAACGTCCTCTAACGGAACCACAACTAACTTTAAACAATTTAAAGGGTAGGGAAGGTTGTTTATATCAGACAGCTGATGTTTATTGGGTAAGAAAAGATGTCTAAAGGAAAGGTAACGGTGTTAAAGTTTGAGGAAAGGGTGTTTCAAGGATAATTAAAGGTGTTTTAAGGACAGGTTTAGGTGTTTACAGAAAAGGAGCAGATTTTTAACCTACAATTAAAGGTGTTTAAATGACGGTAAGAGTGACCATAGATTACTGAACCCTGGCGCTACATCTAAGAAAAGTTATGCAAGATCAAGAAGCAGACGACAAAGAAGCTGGACAATCAAGGACAATGGCGAGTGTGCGTCCAGAAAAATTATAGCATCAAATACCAGAAGCCTTGCACTAATTTACCTCCTGCAACGCCATGCGTTATGTCCTGGGTTTGCCGACGATGACTAGCAGATACAGTGGCACAGGTCAATGCTCACACGAAGGTATCGGCAGACGTTAACCACCCATTGCACAAAGCTATAAACGACACAAATGGAACGCGTCTCAAAAGAGGCCGCTCTTGGATGGCAAAGGCTGAGGATTTAATTCAGCAGGAATGTGACCTAGACGTGATCAGTCACGGAAAAGAATGGACGAATACACCAGTAGACATGCATGGCATCTCTAAGGTTGTCATCACAATCGGGAGGTACGGCAGGGATCAAATTCCTGCGGCCGTAGACACAGAAGTAAGGGAACTGATAGATCAGCATTCAGACCCAGAAGATATCATCATCTACACAGATGGATCCGTGAAGCGCGGATCAAGGTCAGCATGGGCATACACAGCGCAAAAAATGGAGAAAACAATACATGAGGACAGCGACGCTTACCAGACAACCACGTCAAGCATGACAATGGAAATAGCCGCTGCTTCTAGAGCTTTAGCGTGGGTATCCGAGCAAACCGCCACACAGGCAGTAATTGTCTCAGACTCGATGAATATGCTTCAGAAGATAGCAACAGGTAGTATGCGCTCTGAATGGATAGAAAGCATTCGGAAATCGCACTTAACCTCCGTAACCTGGATCTACACACCGGGTAATGGGGGCGTAAAGGGAAATGAGCGAGCAGACCAACTGGCAAGCACTGCACCAATGATTGCGGGAAAAAGCATGGACAGAGCAGATATCGTCAACGCTGTACGAACTGGGCTAGTGGAAAATGAGGAATCCCTGACACTAACACGATTGCGTGACATGGGAGTTAAGCATGGTGATGCACGTCTTTGCCGTCTTCGGGGCCGAGAAAGGAGACGATATAACCAGCTTCTCATGGGGACAATTAGTAAAAGTACTTTGCAGTGGCTGCTGCTTCGGAGAACTGATCACGCATGGGTATGCCCAATGTGCAGTGACATCAAGTGTGATAACAAAACATAAAATAACATCTTGTAGGAAGTCGGCAGTCCGACACCCAAGTTCAAGGTGTCTCCTTCGTGCCAAAGAACTGCATGGCTGTTGGGTGAACAGTCGTTAACGAAGGCAGGCAGGTCGTTGTAGGGGCGACACCTGCTGGTGGGTGTAATATCCTAAGTCCCTTCCCCAGCTAATAATGACGGTACTGCTGGGGTGGCCGTTTATTAACCCTCATATAATGCTTCAGGTCAAAATGGACGCTAGGCACGGCCACCTTTTTTTCCTGCCAGACGGTGGCAGTTGCATTTTTGCTCCATTTGTAGACTGAAAGGATATAGTTTCGTCGCCCAGCTTCTGAGTTGAGTGCATGGCGTGACACTGTGAGCTACGTGTGTTTTTCATTGGCACAGGAGCGGAGCAACTATGGGGTGACCCGTTTGCTATGAAGCTGAAACTAGGATTACCAAATTACCAGATTACTTGCACTAATTAGGACACCAGTCTTCTCCTTCAGCACTTCGAGCCCTTGATGTTCATTGCTGTCGAACCCTCTACATTAATCTTCAGTAGGTATGGCAAAAGTAGCCTTTTGCAAAATACTAAACTTACCACGCTGAGGGAAGGGTGCGAAAGGTTGAGGAGGATTAAATGAGGCGGTGGTGCTAGCGATGGCCGAGAACGAATGATTGCAATACGGTCTGTCATATATTATGTCAAAGGACTGCATTTAAAATCACCCAGTGGTATCAATGATGATGATGATGATGATGACGTTCAACCCCACTATGACATGGAACGGAGGGATAAACACCCGGTGATACATAGTGCCAACATTCACACGATGATCACCAGAGGACAGGTCCCAAAAACCCCGCTTAACCCATAGGCTAGGTTATATTAGGGCCCCCAGCAACAGCCAGTAAGGGGCTTGAAAACAATCTAAGGTGTCAGGGTCTCAATGCAAATATAAAGTGAAAAATGTCCTTAGAAAAAAACAGCCACTAAATAAATCATCAAACGATTACTGTGAATCTCCTCCACCTCTTGTCTTCTTCTTCTTTTTATCATCTTTTCATCCCTAATTGAGCTTATGCTCAACAAATTTTGCACCAGGCCGTTTGTACACTAATAATATCGCTACTCCGGTAACAAAATACACAAACGTGACAATTACTCACCATCGAACTTCTTGGTTCTAGAGGCGAAATTCGTTTTTAAGATTTTAAACGACTCCTCGAGATGCCTGGCGTGGTCTTTTCTAGTCAAGGTTGACAGTTTCTCCTCCATGTTGCGTGTACAACATGTCTCCGTGTGCGGACATATAGTCAAGTTGACACCTGAGGAATAGAGCGGGTCAATGTTACACTTTGTCAACAAATTTGTTTAGGTTATTATAGGTATGCAGGCAGGCAGAATGAAAAACGGATGAAGAAAGAAGCATCATATGTAGTAAACCAAGTATTGGGAGAGCTAGCGCCCCACCCCCTCCCTCCCCTTAACCCACCTATTGTTTTCTTTTTTCAGCATATGCAATCCCGATCAGCACCGAGAAACATCTCATATAAAGCATATCATTCCCACTCTATTCTACCAGTGCCAGGCGTGGTCATTCACAATAAAATATAACAGAAAATAAGTAACCACGGGGTGAGGAGGGATGCAGGAGTGACCAAAAGAGATACAATTACAAATAAGGTAATAAGAACAAAAGTTGACAGAAAACCCATTCTAAATTACACACAAAGAAAGCAAATCAAATAATCTGCCGATTTAGAGGGAATTTCTTGTGTGCTATACTTATACAAGGCATGCAACAAAACAGGATACGGGAGTAGAGCAGAGGACAGACACAAAACAAGATGCAAAAATAACATGAAAGAAACTTTACAACAACACAATGTGTCGATGGTCGGGGCGGCTAAACGAGCAAGAACAGAACTATTTATCTCCCTCGGCACCGAAGCAGTAAAAGGGGAAGTGAAGAAGAAGAGAAGAAGGCAGGCACAAGTGGGTAGGTAGATAGATGTGAAGCTAGGTAGGTAGGCAGGCTGCCACAAAGGCACGAAGATGGGCATGTAGTCTGGTAGATAGGCAGACAAGCAACACATGTATGTAGGCAAGCAGACAGATTTCAGTAGGGCGGTAGAGAGATGGGTACGCAAGGAAGTAGGCAAGCTGGCAGGTACAGAAAGACAGACCAGTGAAAAACCATTCCAACTATATTATTGTCATATGTTATCAATGGTAAATCCTATTCAACGCCTACGTCTTTTTTTTTTTCACCACCTTCTGATTCACTGTAACTGATAAACGTTACTGTGAGTAGAGTTGTATTGTTACATAGTCTGCATTAAGCCTGATAAACGTTACTGTGAGCAAAGTCGTATTGTTACATAGTCTAAATTAAGCCTGATAAACCTTACTGTGAGCAGAGTCGTATTGTTACATAGTCTGCATTAAGCCTGATAAACGTTACTGTGAGCAGAGTCGTATTGTTACATAGTCTGCATTAAGCCTGATAAACGTTACTGTGAGCAGAGTCGTACTGTTACATAGTCTGCATTAAGCCTGATAAACGTTACTGTGAGCAGAGTCGTATTGTTACATAGTCTGCATTAAGCCTGATAAACGTTACAGTGAGCAGAGTCGTATTGTTACATAGTCTGCATTAAGCTTGATAAACGCTAAAATGAAAAAAAAAATCATTCGCCAAAGACATGCCAGTGTGGCCTTGAGAAACATCTGGTCATGACGTAACAAACTGTTCCAGGTTTGCCCTTCACTGCTTCCTCTCCGTGTGATAAACTGTTTTCTGTCTTCCTCCACATCCGCCTGTACCGTGCACTGTGCATCTTATAGCTGCCTCCGAAGTGGCCGATGCATCACTCATGCATGCTTGTCTGGCAGTTCCTGGAAAGCCTCCCTCCCTGGCGTCCCCCCCCCCCCCACCCCACCAGGAAAACTTTATTCTATGCAACTTATTCCATGGTATCTTGGGCTGAGGTAGCCTAGCGACTAGGTGTTTGCTTGCCAGCAGAAGTCTACGGTTCAAATTCGCACTGACGTGACCCCCCCCCCCCCCCCCCCATCTTTCAAAAGTGGCTTTGGCTTCTAGGTCAAACTAGCCTAAAATGGGTACCAGGAAATGTTATGGGAAGTAAAGGTGGTCGAAGTGATGTCGACCACATCATCGATTGGCTTATAAACAGATAGATTTAGCACCATATTCCCGTTGCGGCATAAGGCGCGAGAAGCGTTCTCTACTCGACTTCCTTGTCTGTGATTTCTGTTTTTGCGAACATAGCTCTCTCGTTATGAAAGTCGTCCCCTTGTGGGATACAATTTTTCGTTATTTGAAGCCCCACCTCGTTGCCGGTTTGGACAGTATTTGGGTCTGTCTGCTTTGATCCCATCAACACTTCAAGAGTCCTTTTCAGGACTACTTATTCATAACTCAACCTTCTGGGATATTGGTTAAACGTGACGAGTTTTTTGTTTACGACGACACGATGAAGGGGTATGCAGGCAGGCATGCAGGCATAAATGTAGGTGAGTATGTAGGTGGGTAGAAAGCTGTCTGGTTGTACTTAAAAAAAAAGGGTAAAGTCGGGAGATGTGAACCAGCGTCATTGCACACGGTTCTAAACCATAAGTGCTCTGCCACCAGTACGGACAGCTGATAAGAAACTGTTTGAGTTGCTGTCCGCACACAACTCCGTAGCTACAGCGACGTTCCTCCATTGACCCCAGAGTGTTAGCTCTGGTACCCATTACCTAGAGGCTGGGTGAACCCTGGGAACCGCTTGGTTTTGAACACCGGAAGTGGGCTGCAGCCAGTCACAGCTGGGTTTGAAAGCTAGTCTCCTATCGACTGCGCTAACGCAGCCCCTTGTCTGGTGGTAGTAGATACAGACATAAAATTACGTCGCAAAAACTGCTAGAAAAGGGTGAGCTAGCAGTGTATGCGATCAACAGACAGTAGAGGATCTGGCGTGGATATGCATCAGAAGAACCTGTTAAACGTCGAGACAACTGGAAAGATCAGTGGAAAAGGGGGCAGAGGCGGAACAAGAGAGCTGATGCTGGATGGGCTGAAGAGATATCAAAGGGGGATATCATCAACAGAGCAGTTCCAAGCAAACAGGGATCGTGATCTGTGGAGATGCATGAGCGCCTACGCCAGTTGGCAGTGCACATGATGATGATAACAGCACGGATGACCATTAAAGCTAAATCGACCTGTTCACAGTTGGTTGGTTTTTGTGATTATACTGTTATAAGAGATCAGCTGGCCTACTCTGAGCTCAACAGAACCCTCAGATACCTCTTACGACATGCCTGGCAAGGTGCCTGCTATTATGCCATGCTTCCTTCAATGGCTCTAACTACACAAAGCCAGTTTCTAGGTACGCCTCTGTGAATACAACTGAGGGTGAGGCCTTCATATGTAATAGATCACGTAGTTATATGAAGCTACTTCTCAAAAGTTACTCCCTCGTCGGTTTCCTTTCAAAAGAGAAATAACAGACTCCGTTATAGGAAGGGCCAAGGGGGTCGACAAGGTCCAACAAGGTCTCTAATGGATATCTCGCATCAACTGAGAATTGTATGTACCCCAACCACTAAGCTGCTAATCCGGTTCACGTTTATCTTTCCCAGCCAGGCCCCATGGTGAGTTCCACAGGGGAAAATTCCCTGCTTCGTTTAAATCCGTTGTATGGGGTGGGGGGGGGGGGGAGAGAGAGAGAGAGAGAGAGAGAGAGACGAGAGAAGGGAAATCCCCAAACATTTTCCCATCCACTGGTGATTACGGACTATAACACAACAGGCGAGGCAATCAGAGGGGCATCCGTTCCACTGACACCCTCCTGATCCACGGCGCTGCCACAACCAATCAACTCGCTCATTCGTGCAAATGGGGAAAGATGTACAGTTCATCAAAACGAACGGAGGTAACAGCAGCTGGCAACAGAATGAAACAAGCCGAGAAGTGCCGGTGCGGCCATTAAACGATAAACAGCCATAAACCTCTGCGGGCTTTACGTCCCCGGTTCTCCCGCCGCCAAAAACCAAACGCAGACGACGTCAATAAAACCGCAATAAAACCTGACTGACGTTGCCGCCTTATCGACATTACAGTAAACCCCTCGATTTTCTATTGACCTTCTGTGGGATGGCAGTTTGTGTGCAATGATTCGGGTTAATCTTTGGTACAATAAAACTCAACAGATACTGCCCTAGGATGTGTTATGAAGTTTTGCATGCACATAAATGTTATATATATGTATATATATATATCTGTATATATATATATATATATATATATATATATATATATATATATGTATGTGTGTGTGTGTGTGTGTGTGTGTAGAGTAAAGGAACCCTTTGTACCCAATTACTCGAACTGGACATGTAGGGCTAGACCTATATTTTATAGACCCATCGAAACTCTGCGGGTGAATAGGTCAACATTAAGCCGACCTCCTTTACTTCCCAGGACTTTAAATGCTGCCGATGTCAGGCTCATAAGCCCTCATTTGGACACCACAGGGGAAAAGATCTCGTGGAAGACCAAGGGAAACCCTACGTAGAACTATCATCAGGGGAGGCTCGCTCATGGGCCACTCAAACATCCAAGACCTACAACGGATTGCAACGGACCGCCGTGCATGGAGAGTCACGACCTCTGCCCTATGTGCCGCACTCGACACAAGAGGAAAGACTATAGATGTCAGGCTGGGAGCCAAGGTCATTTCTGAAAAACATTCAGCTCTATGTAGCTTTGAAGGGGGAGGGGGAACTAACTTGGGGTTCGAGTCTAGCTGTTTCACCCTAGCGGCTTACGTGTGTGTTCAGCATTATACACTTGCATGTGTAAATAAATGTATATGTATGTATATGTAAGTATTTGTATGTATGTTTGCATGTATGTGTGCACGCAGCCGGCCGGCGTAATGCTGATAACATCACCCACCTAGTGCCGATAGTCTGTACTAAATATGGGTGCTCTTCCCATATGCCCGATGCGCCTAGGGTTTAAAAAGGGATATTTACTTTACTATGTATACATGTAGGGAAAGTCACGATAACCGTTCTCCTTGCCACGTTCTGTGGCTCGAAGGGACAGCGTCTGTTCAAAAACTCGTCATGTCTCCAATATAAACCCTGCTAATGAGAGTATATTTTGCAAAAACGACAGCAGAACGTTCATCCTCCCAACTTTCGACAGTATATAGGACTACTAGCTTTACTAGACAAGGGACGGGGGATGGAGGGCGCCCCCGCATGTTGGAAGTCAAAAACATTAAAAGCCCCCAATTTCTGAGTTTGTCAC